GGCCACCATTGCTGTGATGAGATTACTGTAAGTTTTAAAAGGACCTGCCTGCTAATATAATCAAATACAGCACTATACAGGCTGACTTACAAGCACAGAAATGTTAATGTTTAGTTTATTGTTGTTTCATTTACTGTGCCATATATTAAACCTAAATTCCTCAGTCTTTGATTCAGCGATACAATGAACAGATGGCTGAATACATACTTGATATGGATCATAGCTTTTTAGAATGATGTTCTCACCCATCCCTCTTGGCAGTTGTTCCTAAACTTTGCACTGGTCAACAGGAGACATTTTGTGAATACAATCGCACAAGCACAGTTAGAGTAATCACAAGATTAGATACTTACATCTGATCTAACTGGAATAAAAGTACTCTGCCAAACTCTTCACATAATGCAAGCTATGCAAACTAACCAAATACTGTTATTGATGCAGTTAGCTGCAGTAGTATATGAAACTAGAAATCTGATTACATTGATTACATCACACAGTTTTAAAACTATTGTACTCATATAAAGCACACTGTCTGTTCTATCTTAGGTATATGATGGACATTGGTTGGCTGGCATTGGTCTTAGTAGCAATATTGCTTTTTATGTTATAGGGTGGTTGAGTTATCCTGCAGTAATAGGGAAAACCCAAAGGAAAACCAGAGAAGGCTTTTTAATATACTAACAAACTAAAAATACTATTATGAAATGTTTATAACATACCATAGTATTCAACAGCATAATGCCAGAACAGTCAACAGTAATGTACATTAATGTATACTGATGTAGACCAGTGGCATTGGTTAGTACCATCAGTCACAACATTCAAGGGCTTCAATAAGTACCAATAAGTACCAATGGTTCATTCTTCCTCCAAGGTTTTAGATCTTTAACATAATTTTTCATTTTGCATGTTGATGTATATTATATGAAATGACAACTGGTAAAGGTGTTGTGGAACCTAAAGCTGCCTATTCATAGGTAGTAGGGATGAGCTACTAGCAGCCTAGCGATATGCCAAACAAGCTGGCCAAATCTGGACAATTTGCCAGTGAGAATCCCTGGCTATTGCATTTTAAACAAACTGGCCAGGGATTTGTCGTGTAGTAATGGTAGCATTTCATACAATCTTAAAATGAAATATCCCCAGCTGGCTCCTATTTGGAAATAAATCAGCCAGAAATTCTGGGTCATGCCATTCAACAAATATAGCTATGGCCATATTTGGGAAATGACATCACTAAGCATTCCCAGATGTTTGTTTACATACAGAAGCCGATATAAAGGATTGAGGTATGGATGCCATTTGTTATAGTTAGGTACAATTATTTACAAATAGAAACTTTCATTTTGCAATGATAATATGACAGGGCACCTACAAGACATAGGGACAAGGTGCATTGCAAGGGTGTTGGTGTTGCCTTGAAAGGGGGGGAAGACTTGGTTAACCACTTACAAGGTACCCACCTAAGGTTGAAAGACATGTGGCCCGGTATGTTTTAGGAAGGGATGCCACATGCTATCTGCCCTCCCTTATCCAGGTTGCAAGGGCCTGCTGTGAATGACATTGGGCCCCCTAAAATTCATACCAAACACTTATCCATGCATGCAGCCTGGATGACCAGGTTAAGAAAGGCAGTGAGTTTGTGCCCCATCCCCCTTTCTGTACCATACCATGCCACATGCCTTTTAACATTATCCCCATGTTGTGCAGACAATGGTCTCATTCCCATATCCTGTTCCCCAAAAATATGTAGGGGTTTCAGTGGGGGATATTTATTATAAGGGGACCCCAGATATCTGCCACCAGGGGAATAAATATCAGAATCATTAGCAACCATATTTTACTTATTCCCTTTTTAAATGTCAATAAACACATACCCTGTTAAAAAGTCCTGTAATAAAAATGATATTAAAAAATTTAAACAATGTTCCCTGATATAAATTCATTGTAAAAACATAGTTTAGCAATGTGGATACAGCTACAATCAAAATGACCTGATACCATGATGACCCACCACCTGGTAATGTTGCCGCACTGCTACAATGACCTGCTGGCTGACAATGATGCCTCAATATACTATGGCCAGAAAAGGACCTCGGCCAATTGGTGCACAAAAACTGGAGGGTCCTATATATCACCATTGACCAAATATGGTTATGATCATATTTTGTCAGTGACATCACCAAGGATCCCCAGCCAGTTTGTTTACAAACCCCCAGCCAGCCAGGAATCTGTTATTTTGTGACAGTAACACTTTTTAGTTCATACTGTTCTTCAACTTTACCTGCTACTCTAAGACATCCTCAAGTATGTTATTTAATGGGTTTGCATATTTTAAATGTTGCTCTGTAGCCTCCCTGGCGGTATTCCTGAGTGTAGCTCGGGGTAAAGTTTCAGTACCACAAGCGGTAACCCCAAGCTTCACACGGGCTTACCATACGGCACTGCTCCGGGATCTGTTCTTCTCTTACCTTGTCCTGCGCTCCCGTGATGTCCCTCCTGCAGTGTCCCCTGTAATGTCCTCGGGCGGATGCCGGCATCTGTCTCCTGAGTTCCGTCCCCTGCGACGTCGGGACGTACGGGGACGGAGCGGTGGGAAATTTGAAAATGACAAAAAGTACATTCATTAAATTCACTAAAATCACATAGTAAAACATTACTGTATCAAAGCATTTCACATACATTTTGTCCCTAGTGCTGTGTCCTGTGCCCTGCCTGCATTTTTACTGTTCTTTCTGCCTGGAAACTGAGAAATGTCCATGGCATCCAAAAAGCGTCCCTTTAGGTCAAAAATGGTTTTAGACCAGCTAAAGAACAGCGATAGTAAATTAAAATCACTTGCAGAATTGAGTGATAATGATTCGTGGGGAAATTCGTCATCAGACACTGAAAACGATTTTGCGACTAAGCTCAGTGATGTGCGAACTTGGCGCTCTATTTCAAAATTCAGTGTTTTTGGCTTGATTATATTATTGAATTAAATTTATTATTATTATATTTTTTTTTTTATGATTATTTATTAAATTATAATTTATGATTTTGTGTTTAAAATTTTATCATACCCGTGACGTTTACTAGACTCTTGTTCGGACAGATTTCAGTGAGTTATTCATAAAGATTACAGGTCTACAATAAAAAAATACATATTTCCATGCAAAAAAATGTACCGCTTTGAGCACAGAAATGTGGACATAATCAGACCGCCAGGGAGGTTAAATCAGAAATAAAAGACCCTCTTCCTGCAGTAATGTTAAACATTGTGTTTGCATCTGTACATGCCCTTCTTGGCAATATCCAGTTACCCATGCCCTTTTTTTTAGCAAAAGGTTGCAAATTAGTCTTGAAAAATGCCAGAAAAATAACTAAATTGGACTGCCGTATTACAGGGGGAACCTTACAGCAAGTATCCATGGGCCCTCCCTCAGGCTCCTACCCAAAGTGAATTTGTGTGGATAATGGTCATGAGTGAGAGAGGTGCCTCATATATAGTATGAGCCTTCTCAGCACATAATCTACATGTCCACATTTAGTTACTCTTATACATAAACATATTGCCAATGCAAACAGAATATTAGTGAGCTGTTCTGATAACAAAGAGCATGTTTTAGCCATGTGTCAGTGCTAAACTAAATGTTAACAATGCCCAAGGAGATGTAAGCATTTGCCATAAACATGTAGAAAAGAACAGATATTAACAGGAGACTGCAAGTTTCAGCACTTTTCTACAAATGCACTGTGATAACTCCTTTCCAGTTTTTTTTGGCAGCAAAAGAGGACAGGTGGGCGCCTTCAGGTGATATGTGTGGACAGATTGATTGAATTATTCCACTCTGGGAGATTAATGTGTTACCTCAGCAACCTGTTCACATTCCAGTTGCCCAGTCACATTGTTTTAGACAGTGCTTTTTATTATGCATATATACAAGGTTATATTTAAATGTGTAATTATGCAAATATATGGGGATGGGCAGATATTGATCTGTATATTTAATTCATTTTTTTTCATTTGCACATGAATGTTTTTATTTGGTACTCATACATAGGATTTAAAAATAGGCTTGGCACAGCTAAACTAATGGGCTTTACATTTCATGCACAACGTATTTAATTTCAAAAATGTATTTGCAGCACTAGTCAATGTGGGGTTTATTTACTAAAGCTGGAGAGGGCAAAATCAGGCTCACTTCTGCATAGAAACCAATCAGCTTCCAGGTTTTTTTGCCAAAGCTTAATTGAACAAGCTGAAGTTAGAAGCTGATTGGTTTCCATGCAGAAGTGAGCCTGATTTTGCCCTTTCCAGCTTTAGTAAATAAACCCCTGTGTGTCACCACGGTTTGTTTATATATTTTTTTCCTTGACTTGCCACCTCTGGACATCTTCAGGTAAATCCAGTGAAAGTACTGTTGGGGATACAGGATCTGCTAAAAAAAAGTTATGACACTCCCTGTAAACAGTGGTGCATTTAGGTTTTGTGCTACCATAGGCAACACAAAATTGGCGTCCCCCCGCAGAAAGAGCCTGACATTGACCAAGAACATCCTTGCCCCCCACCCAAGCCTTCCATTACCACTGCCCCCCATACACCAGCCACCATCCCCCATGGCGAGAGAGAGAAAGATACTCACCTTCACAGCTCCGGACATCTTGAGGAATGAGAGTCGGGCTGTGCATACACCATCATGAAATCCCCAGCATCTCTCGGAAACCCACCAGGTCCCCATGCCGCGTGTGTCCCTTCTTCCATCCCTTCTTCCAAGGGGCAGTGCTGCCCCCCCTGAAAAATGCCATCCTAGGCAAATGCCTTGTTTGCCTTGTGGTAAATACACCCCTGCCTGTAACTCTGACAATGTGGAACCATTTCTCTTTTCTCTTGACTGATTGGCATGACAATTAGAATAGTAGCTATCAGGGGTGGACTGACAACTCATGGGGCCCCCGGGCAATAGAGGATCATGAGGCCCCTGTATCCTTGGCCAAACTCAAAAAATCTTATGAAAAAGGTACCAGGGGCATCTCATGGGGCCCCCTACTGACCCTGGGCCCTCAGGCAGTGCCTGAGTTTCCAAATGGTCAGTCTGCCCCTGGTAGCTATACATAAAGCATGCTTTACGATGCTCTACTAATGTATCAGAGAGCCACGTCTGTGTTCCTGCCATGAAATTTGCATAAATAAATTTTCAAAACTGAGATTTGGAAAGAAAAAACATAAATGTAAGTCTAATGCAGGCAATATATGGGTCAAATTCCAAACAAATTTTCTTTAGAAAATTGGAAATTTTGTGTGTTTTGCAATCCAATGAAGCCACCATTGATTTTGAAATTCAACCAACTAAGCCTTTAATTTCACATCATGTTACTACAGAAAAACTTTTTCGTGGCCAAGAATTTTCTTTTTTCTAGGTCAAAGCTCATGCTCATTTTTTTCAATTACATTTCTCACACAATTCTCCCATCATTGATTAGAAATGTGTTCATTTTTTAAAACATTTCCAACATGCCTGATCACTCAAATTTGATGGTCACTCAAAAATCAGCCATTGCTGTGGCCCACTAATTGTGTGAAATTTGAACAGAAAATTATTTTCGACCCATGTGTGGCCAGCATTAGGTCCCATGCACACTAGGAGTTTAGCCTCGGTGCCTTGGGATCTGGCATTTAGCTGCAGGCAGAGGGCAGAGGTTGCAGCCAGCTTATCAAACTCCAGGGCAATATGCACCCGGAACACAAGAAGTCTACATTTTGAGCATTCATCCCTGGGCACAGACTTTGTAAGTTTTTTTCTCCTACCGTAGTGAATGAGTTGGCTTCCATCACCCAATCATGTGCAAGCATAGAATACTGTTTTTTTTTTCTTTTTCTTTGTTCATGAATGGGTATTTATTCCTAAGCAAAGGGAATTTCCTTGCAAATTGAAAGTGGCCAGCATATTTGTCTTTAGTAAATCAACCCAAATATCCAGTGAGGCTTATCAGAAAATTGTCCACTTCAACCAAGAGTGGTTTCAGAGATTGTAAGAAGAGAAGAAAAGAAAGAAGAAATGGAGGCTTGCTTAGAGTGCAGTCATTTTACTCCTGGTATGGTAACATCCTGGCAGCATATCTGCACTGCATATCTTCATATCATATACAATCATGGCCAAAAATATTGGCACACCTGCATTACTGTCAGATAATGCACCACTTTGTCCTGAAAATTATTGCATTTACAAATATTTAGGCATTCTCATATTTATTTCTTTTGTTTGTATAGGTATGACACAAAAAAAAAAGGGGAGAAACAAAAAGCCAAATCTGGCACATTCCACGCAAAACCCCAAAAATGGACTAGACAATATTATTGGCGCCTTCTCAAAATTGTAAGAAATAATTGCAATCCAAGTTTGTGATGCTCTTGTAATTTGTAATTTAACTCACCTGTATCAATTAACAGGTGCTGACAATATAGAAATCACTTCGGCAACCAGTTAAAAAGGTGAAAAAATTATTTAACCTGTCTGTTGTGTGTCCCTGTGTGCCACATGGAGCATGGAGAAGAGCAAGAGCAGCAAAGAATTGTCTGGGGATTTGACAACAAAAATTGTGGAAAAGCATGGACAATCTCAAGATTACAAGTTCATCTCTAGAGATCTTAATGATCCTGTGCACAACATTGTCAAGAAGTTTACAGCTCATGGCACTGTAGCTAATCTCGCTGGATGTGGACAAAAGAGAAAAATGTATTAAAAATTGCAACGAAGGATTGTTCGAATGGTGGCTAAAGAACCTCGATCAACTTTCAGACAAATTCAAGCTGACATTCAGGCATAGGGTACACTGAGTTAGCTCACACTATACATCACCATTTGAATGAAAAGGGACGCTATTGTAAGAGACTTAGGAGGACCCCTCTGCCAAGTTTGCCAAAACTTACCTGAGGAAGCCAAAATCCTTTTGGGAGAATGTACTGTGGACAGACAGTACAAAATTACAGCTTTTTGATAAAGCCCATCATTCTACTGTTTTCAGAAAAAAGAAATAAGGCCTTTAAAGAAAAGAATACAGTCACTACAGTCAAATATGGTGGAGGTCCACTGATGTTTTGGGGTTGCTTTGCTGCTTCAGGCACTGGATATCTTGACCATGTGCATGGCATTATAAAATCTGAAGACTACCAAAGAATTCTGGGATGCAATATCAGTGTCAGAAAGTTAGGTCTCCGTCAGAGGTCATGGGTCTTACAACAGGACAATGACCCAAAGCACACATCAAACAGCACCCAGAAATGGTTTAAGACAAAGTGCTGGAAAGTACTGAACTGGCCAGCAATAAGTCCAGATCTCAATTCCATAGAGCACCTGTGGAGAGATCTCAAAACAGCAGTTGGAAAAAGGAACCTTTCCAATCTGAGAGACCTGGAGCAGTTGGTGAAGGAAGAGTGGCCCAAAATTCGAGTAGAGAGGTGTAAGTAACTCATTAATGGTTACAGGAAGAAATTAAAGTCAGTATTTTTTCCAAGGGGTGCTGTCAAATATTAAATTGAGGATGACAATAATTTTGTCCATTCCTTTTTTATGTGTCATACCAATACAAACAAAAGAAATAAACATGAGAACACCTAAACATTTGTAATTGCAACAATTTTCTGGGCAAGGTGGTGCATCATCTGACAGAAATACAGGGGTGCCAATATTTTTTGCCATGGCTGTATTTCTGGCAGTATGTCTGCATAGCATACCTTCATATCAAATATTTCTACATATCATACTACCAACATCAGTACCTACATCGGTATGATACAGTACATATGATACAATACAGTACAGTACAATAACTACATCAGCAGATCCAAGCAAAGCCTAATTTATAATAGTTCAACAAAATACTTCACCACCTCGATTGACCTTGATACCAGCATAGAGAGGTGAGAGTTTAATCTTTACTATTAATCTCAAGAGAATCCTAGCTGCATTGCTGTGACAATCTGCATGTAAATCGAGATAGAAGCTCTGCATAATTAGGAAGTACAGGGCCAGCATGGGAAAGGTTTCACTTCACTAAGACCTGACTCCAGCCATTATTTACTTATTTTTTGGATAGGGTGCAGAAAAGTTACAAATTTTGTTACACCATTGGTGAGATTTTCTTTCCTTTTTCTAGTCTCTGTGATGCCAATACATGAAATTTGGGGTATTGCTGTTAACAGGACCAGAACAGACAGCAATCAAAACTTTGTCATAAATGGTAAGCCTTCCCCACTCAACTAATATATTTGCAGTATGAAAATACTAATGCCAAAATAGATTATTGTGACGCCAAATATTAGACGTGAACTGAAAAGTAAAAAATAAGTGGTGTTTTTTTTATTATTTAGCCCCCTAGGGGGTTTTACAGCTGCCCCTATAAAGTGAACGTGACACTTGTATGTGGACTAGTAGTGAATAGATAGAGTAGGTGCTGTGCTTAAATAAAATATAAATTCACCCTGTAAACCCAATAGGGTAACTGAATATTGGTTGTCTGTGAATGAACATCAATCAATAATTTTCAAGCAATTCACAAACTAAACAATTCATAAAACAATAAAGTCAATAACTATATACTCCTATTTCCATAGAAAGTTATTTTATTTCCACCACGTGCTGAATAAACTTAAAGTGTAACAGTCCTTTTTAGAACTCAATAATGGTGGCATAAAGATCCATGTGTCCACACCTCAGTGCAAAGGCAAAGTCACCAGACTTATATGACCTCATTACGGTGGTCATATATTGCATTGTATTTTTATTAACCAGGATATGCTCTAGAGGTTCCTCCACGTATGATCACCATCACCCACACTTCATAGTTGAATAGCAAGTAGGACTGATGAAAAATTGCCAATATATTCACCAAACAATATTTACAGGGATTGAAATAGGTAATCCTTGTTGTTTATGCCATACCACTCGAAGGAATCACAACAATGAAAAACTGTTCTAAGTGTAGTATTTAATGAAGCAAAAGTAAGAATTAAAATAAACTTGATACACTCACATGATATAGTGCCTAAAAAGCCGGCACCAGCATGTATCGTCTGTGCATTCAATTAAAATGGCCGATGTGCGTTCCAAGTCTCTGTTCCGGCTGGACTTGACGTCCCCAGAGCCCGGATATGATGGAATCACGTTTGTTCTTCAAAGTATATTTTGACTGGCGGCGTCTTCCTGAAACATTTGTTAAGTGCCATGTAAATTGACGGTGCAATATAAGTACCTGTAATAATAAATAAATAAAAAGATTATATCAGCGGTGGTGTTTTGCTTTCACACAGAAGACTTTTTCCACTGTTTTCTCTTTTTTAACTGAAGGATTGGGTTGGCTACGTATGATGACAGGGATTGAATCACTAGCAGTACCAAACTGGGTCATGAGGCATTTTACCTTATGTGAGATACACAGTGCTTTGCGCACATGCTGAACGTAAGTTAATTTGTCTGTCTGTTTAACCACTAATTTTAATGAACAGTTTAATGCTATGGACTTGTGTACAGTGGTACCTTGACCTACGAGTTTAATTCGTTCCGTGGCCGAGCTCATAGCTCAATTTGCTCGTACATCAAATCAGTTTTCCCCATTGAAAATAATTAAAATGCTCTTAATCCGTTCCAACCCTCAAAATGCATTTCTAAATAACAAACATGGTGACAGAAAGTTTGGTATAAACTGCTATAAATGGAACTCTGCACCTGTTCCAGAAAAGCAGAAAACACTCACCCTCTGAAGTTTAGTATAAGTTGGTATAAACTGGTATAAAATGGAACTCTGCACCTGTTCCAGAAAAGCAGAAAACACTCACCCTCTGGTTTGAGGTAAACACATGAAGAGACCATAAACACGTGAAGAGACCATGAGAAGACCGATAGTATGTGTTGGAGGTGTGTCTCGGAGGCTGGGATGCTGTGGCATCACTGCTCACTACGCCATCTAGCAGTGCCATCTCCAGCTCGTACCTCAATTTTTTGCTCGCGTAACAAAGCAAAAAATCGACCGAATGACTACTCGTACCTTGGAAAACTCGTACCTAAATGCACTCGTAGGTCAAGGTACCACTGTATTTTACATTTCTGTAAATCATGTATGCAGAAATCCTCTGGCATTTGGAATTTGCTAATCTAATTCATTTTTGGGAGCCTCATTCTTTATCTTCTGCCTTCTGACCATCATATGAAAAAGGTCCAGCAGCTCTGGTGAGTTTGAATTACCATCAGGTGGTGGACTGATGTTTTCATTGATTGAATTCACAAGAAAGAATTGGAAGAATGT